CTGAAATCAACAAAATACAAACCAAAAAAACCTTACAAAGAGTAAATGAAACAAAAAGTTGGTTCTTTGAAAAAATAAACAAGATCGACAGACCCTGGGCAAACCTGCCTAAAATGAGGAGAGAAGAAACCCAAATTAGTAGAATCAGGAATGCAAAAGGGGAGATAACAACAAACACCATGGAGGTCCAGGAAATCATCAGAGACTACTTCGATAACCTATATTCAAATAAATTAAAAAATCTTAAACAAATAGACAGATTTCTAGATACATATGATCATCCAAAATGGAACCAAGAGGAAATTCATCACCTGAATAGATCTGTAACACAAAATGAAATTGAAGCAGTAATCAAGAGTCTCCCCAAAAAGAAAAGTCCAGGACCTGATGGTTTCTCTGCTGAATTCTGCTTTGAAACTATCAAAACCTTAAACTTCATACCAACCCTCCTTAAACTGTTCCATGAAATAGAAAGGGAAGGAAAACTGCCTAACACATTTTATGAAGCCAGTATTACACTTATCCCAAAACCAGGCAAAGACACCTCCAAAAAGGAGAACTATAGGCCAATCTCCTTAATGAACATTGATGCAAAAATCCTCAATAAAATAATGGCAAACCGAATTCAACAACACATCAAAAAGATCATTCACCACGACCAAGTAGCCTTCATCCCAGGAATGCAGGGGTGGTTTAACATACGAAAATCAATAAACCTAATAAACCACATTAACAGAAGCAAAGACAAAAACCACTTGATCATCTCAATAGATGCAGAAAAAACCTTTGATAAGATCCAACATCATTTCATGATAAAAGCTCTAAGAAAAGTAGGAATAGAAGGAAAGTACCTCAACATTATAAAAGCTATATATATGACAAACCTACAGCCAGCATTATACTTAATGGAGAAAAACTGAAACCCATTCCCTCTAAAATCAGGAACTGGACAAGGATGTCCACTATCTCCACTCCTATTCAACATATAGTACTGGAATTCCTAGCCAGAGCGATTAGGCAAGAGGAAGGAATAAAAGGAATACAAATAGGTAAAGAAACGTCAAAATATCCCTATTTGCAGACGATATGATCCTATACCTTAAAGACCCAAAAAACTCTACTCAAAAGCTCCTAGACACCATCAATAGCTATAGCAAGGTAGCAGGATATAAAATCAACATAGAAAAATCATTAGCATTTCTATACACTAACAATGAACAAACTGAGAAAGAATATATGAAAACAATTCCATTTACAATAGCCTCAAAAAAAATCAAATACCTAGGTGTAAACCTAACAAAAGATGTGAAAGACCTCTACAAGGAAAACTATAAACTTCTAAAGAAAGAGATTGAGGAAGACTATAGAAAGTGGAGAGATCTCCCATGCTCATGGATTGGTAGAATCAACATATTAAAAATGTCTATACTCTCAAAAGTAATCTATATGTTTAATGCAATTCCCATCAAAATTCCAATGACATTCATTAAAGAGATTGAAAAATCTACCGTTAAATTTATATGGAAACACAGAGGCCACGAATAGCCAAGGCAATACTCAGTCAAAAGAACAATGCTGGAGGTATCACGATACCTGACTTCAAACTATATTACAAAGCAATAACAATAAAAACAGCATGGTACTGACACAAAAACAGACATGAAGACCAGTGGAACAGAATAGAGGACCCGGATATGAAGCCACACAACTATAACCAACTTGTCTTTGACAAAGGCGCTAAAAATATACGATGGAGAAAAGACAGCCTCTTCAACAAAAACTGCTGGGAAAACTGGTTAGCAGTCTGCAAAAAACTGAAACTAGATCCATGTATATCACCCTATAACAAGATTAACTCAAAATGGATCAAGGATCTTAATATCAGACCACAAACCCCTGGTACAGGAAAGAGTAGTAACAGGTATAGGCAAGAACTTTCTCAATGGAACCCCAGCAGCACAGCAACCAAGAGACAGCATAGATAAATAGGACTTCATAAAACTAAAAAGCTTCTGCTCAACAAAAGAAATGGTCTCTAAACTGAAGAGAACACCCACAAGTGGGAGAAAATATTTGCCACCTACACATCAGACAAAGGACTGATAACCAGAATATATAGGGAACTTAAAAATCTAAACTCTCCTAGAACTAATGAACCAATAAAGAAATGGGCAAGTGAACTAAACAGAACTTTCTCAAAAGAAGAAATTGAAATGGCCAAAAAACACATGAAAAAATGCTCACCATCTCTAGCAATAAAGGAAATGCAAATTAAAACCACACTAAGATTACACCTCACCCCTGTTAGAATAGCCATCATCAGCAACACCACCAACAACAGGTGTTGGTGAGGATGTGGGGAAAAAAGGAACCCTCTTACACTGCTGGTGGGAATGTAAAACTAGTATAACCACTATGGAAAAAAATTTTGAGGCTACTTAAAAATCTAAACATTGATCTACCATATGATCCAGGAATACCACTCTTAGGGATACACCCAAAAGAAGGTGACACAGGTTACTCCAGAGGCACCTGCACACCCATGTTTATTGCAGCAATATTCACAATAGCCAAGATATGGAAACAGCCAAGATGCCCCACCACTGACGAATGGATTAAGAAAATGTAGTATTTATACACAACGGAATTTTATACAGCCATGAAGAAGAATGAAATGTTATCATTTGCTGGTAAATGGATGGAATTGGAGAACATCATTCTGAGTGAGGTTAGCCTGGCCCAAAAGACCAAAAATCATATGTTCTCCCTCATATGCGGACATTAGATCAAGGGCAAACACAACTAGGGGATTGGACTTTGATCGCATGATAAAGGGAGAGCACAGAAGGGAGGTATAAGGCTAGGTAAAACACCTAAAATACTAGATAGCATTTGTTGCCCTCAATGTAGAGAAACTAAAGCAGATACTTTAAAGCAACTGAGGTCAATACGAGAAGGGGACCAGGAAAAGGTTAGTTCGAGAAGAATTAACTTAGAATGTAACACACATGCACAGGATCAATGCGAGTCAACTCTCTGTATAGCTATCATTATCTCAACTAGCAAAAACCCTTGGTCCTTCCTATTATTGCTTATACTCTCTCTTCTGTCGGGTAGCGAGGGGCAAGGAAGGGGGCGGGAAAGGGGAAGAAATGACCCAAACATTGTATGCACATATGAATAAAATAAAAAATTTAAATAATAAATAAATAAACAACAGAATGCAGCAGAAGTGAAACTGGGAGAGTTCTGGACTAAGTCTTAAAAAGTCTTGGCAGGTTCAGCTTGTGTGGTTTGTTTTGAGGTACCATGTAAAACATTTCAGCTAACCTCAGCTACACTGCTGGAGAGAGCACACAAAGGGACCACATGGCAAGGAAAAGGATCAGAGATGACAGGGGAAAAAAAGCTACCATCTTCACATCCCAGCTGAACCCACTGTGCAAGGCAGACACACCAAAGATCACTGGGGACATCAGTACCAGAACCGAGTAGCTGAGCTCAGCTCTGCAGAACTGTGAGCAGATGAACAGTTTGCTCTTTTAATTCACTACATTTCAGGGTGGTTTGTACACAGAAGATAAACAAAAGTGTGGTAAACACAAAATCTAAATCTCTAGCTCTGACTGTTCTTTAGAGATCTGCATCTACATTTCAAACTCTCAGTTTAAATTTCCATATAGATATTTCACCTGAACCTCAAACTCAATATTTGCTAAATTGGAATATAGCATCTCACTACTCCTTATATAGTACTGTGTAAGACACTGATTTTTATTTTTTTATTTTTTTGCCAGTACTGGTGTTTGAACTAAGGGCATCTTCTTTCCTAGGCAGGTCCTTTACCATTTAGTCATGCATCCAGGTTTTTTTTGCTTTAGTTATTTTTCAGATAAGGGTCTCTCATTTTTGCCCCATCTGGCCTCAGACTGCAGTCCTCCTACCTATGCCTCCTGTGTAGCTGGGATTACAGCCGTGCCTCACCACACCCAACTTTTTTGTTTAGAAGGGGTTCTTACTAGATTTCTTCACAGGGTTGCCTGGAACTACAATCCTCCCAATCTCTGCCTCCTAAATTGCTGAGATTACAGATATGAGCCACAGTGCCAGATCTAAGCCGCTGATTTTAAAATCACATTCCTTAGAATACAAGGGCTCTGTTAAGTATTTCTACGGTTTTCTTGTATAGCAATCCTGGTAGACATGTTTCAACTACAGTTCTCATTACCATCATAGCACAGGTCACAAAAACTAACTATAAGCACAAAAAACTTAAACAAGTACACTTTCACTATGTGACTTTGGCATAATAACTTTAACATTTTTTAGGGCCCACACTTAAATAATCTCTTACTTTATAACAGAAGTTGGAATTTCATTTTTCTTACCACATCTTAACCATACTAGATCAACAGAAGTTACAGAACTGTTAACTGGCAGAGCCAGGATTCATCCTGAGCTTCTGTCAGTCAGCAGCTCTTTAACACCTCAAAGCCCCAGTGTGTCAAAATGGACATAGAAATGAACCAATGGGGCTGGGGTGTGGCACAAGTGGTAAAGCACCTGCCTCACAAGCTTGAGGCCTTGAGCTCAAACCCCAGTACTGCCAATAAATAAAAAAGAAATCTATAGGATGATTACAAAAATTAAATGAACCAACATTTCTACAATTCCTACAACACTGCACAGCATATAGTTAAGCTGGCAAATAACTAAGTTCTGACTTCTTGAGAACATTGCACCCAGAGGTTTGATTTGTAATGCATCACGTGAGGGCCCAGGTTACTTTCACATGGATGATCCCTGAAGTGTGTCTGAGAGTCAATGTTCAATATAAGTAGCTGTGTAATTAACCCAAAGTCCTGCCATTACTGATATTTTTAATGACTATGGTAAGATATAATTAAGTCCTATTTCCCAAGAAGAATTACCTCCATTTCAGATCTGGTGCGTAGGATATGTATGTGGCATTGTAAGTAGTTCTCAGATTGACTACTTACCCCAGGGTGTCTTAGGCCTCTTAGCTATATACTCCTTCCATTTCCTGGAACTGAGTTGGTGGGGAGGTGGAAGAAGTATGCTCGAAATGGTACATGGCAGCACAAAAAGAGCACCAACCTGGACAAACACAACACAGTGTTATGGACTGCAGACTGAAATTCACTCTTCAAAAGTGTTACAGGACATGCTTCCACTCAGATTCCATGAATTTAACAAGTATTTAGTAATGCTCTCTCAATAACTCCATTGTAAAAATTTTAAAAAAAAAGTCCCTCCCTCTCCTCCCCCAAGAAAACAAAAAACAGACAAAAGCAGAGAAAGATATTCAAAGCTTTGTATGCATCTCTGAAAGCTGTTATTCATAGTATTCACTTAGTGGTTAGGTTGTGAGTATAATTTCTTCTTGTATCTGCAAAGTAACGAGAGATTAAGAGTGTTAAATTTGTCTTATTCAATCTTATTTTAGACCCTTTGACTGGATGGATTAGTACTGTGGCTTCAAAATCATAATATATAAACGTTTGTTCCTAGAAATGAGAGACAATGCTAGCAGATAAAAACTGCAGAGGACAATGAATTGGAACCTAGAAAACATATGGCAGCTTCAGCCTGATTGATGAGCAAATTCAACTTGTTCATTTTGTGTTCTCAAGACTGGGCATTTACTCAAGGAAATCATCATAATATACTTAGGTAAATTCTCAGTTTGATTAAGAAATAAATAAAACAAATTACAATTCTGAAAGCTGCATTTTGCCTATTCTAGAAATGTAGCTACATCGTTCAACATTCCAAAAAAGAACATCAACTTAAAAAAAAAACTGGAAAAGTTTAGGCAATGCATCAATCAAATATGTTAAACCTAATGCAAAATTATATTTAATTGCCTATGATTGGATGAGTTATGTAATAAATGTGATACTCAATTAGTACTTTAATGTGCTAGCTGCTTTGGTATTTATAATTTTACTTATGCATTCTTTCTGTTTAATCAGATAGGGTCTCACTATCACTATGTGGCCCAGGCTGGCCTGGAACTCTCAATCCTCCTACCTCCACCTCCTGAATGCGTGATTACAGCCATGTATCACTATGCCCAGCTACTTAAACATTCTTAATTAAAAGGCACAAAAATAAATACTTTAGGATGAAATAAAGAAGATAAAAATAAATAGGCTTATTTGCCTTTAGCAAAATAGCTATAACCTTTTTAAAGCCAAATATATTTTACTTATTCAATTATTAGCAATTACAAATAATACATCTAATTCTTTAAACTTTAAATCCCAATTCTTGCATAAATAAGACCTCACAATACAAAATCCATAACAAAACTGTATGGTTGAAAAGGCTGATAAGGCTGCAGCGTGACCATGCCAGGTCAGGCCCAGTTACAGCCTTCATAATATTGTAAGGATGCTTAAATGCTCTCAATGACTAACTCACAGCCTGATATGAAGGTGTCATACCTCTCAGTAGATGAACTGCTCATATTTTTGGGACAGCCCAATTTTGATTAAATATTTGCTCTGAAGATAAAAATAAACATTTCTTAATCTCACAAGATTTAATTCCCTACAAAATAAATGTGCCAAGTTGTTTATACTACCTTCATAACAAACTTGTATTCTGAGAACTTGTTCTCACCACACTAATCATTGGATAGCCTCTAAGACTTGGAGGGGACTCATTTAGACAGTCATTCCATCTCTAGAATTTAAAGGCCACACAGCATTTCCAACCTGAGTTTCAGTAGGTCCTCCCCAATAAGCAGCCACTATGGAAATCATATTTATAGCTTTGCAAGTTTCTCACTCTGAAAAAAATACTTCCTGACCATAAGATAGGAGACAGTAGACTCCCTAACAATCCTATCTTGTCTATTCCTACGTGAAGAAAATAAACTTTACTATAAGAAGCTTTTACATATACTTTGGGACTAATCAGAGAAAGACAGATGGATACTTCTTAAAGGTCAGACACTCTTCCTTACTGACAGGGTATGTCCTAACATTTGATAGTCATGGTCCAAGAAGCAACAAAAATGACCATGTAACAAAGCAAATTTAAAACAAAACAATTGCAAATATGATAAGAAGCAATAAGAGATTAGCTTCCTTCTAGGATAAGTGCTGCCTACCTTCAACAACTAGATAGATTAAAATTTATTTTATATCTGTATTAAACAAATTGTAGGAATACATCTGATTTTTACTTAAAATATTAATCCAAAAGCTGTTCACCAAAAATACTGAGATACACTATTCAAAACATTATTAAATTTATCAGAAGATGAGGCTGGATGCCAAAATTTTAAGTTATCATATAACCATGCATCTTAGGACCAAAATCATATTTCCCTTACTATATCAATTTTCTAAGTCAATTGTAACCAAGATTAAATTACAGTACCATGAGGAAATTGCTGTAATTAAAGTAATCATTTTCTCCCTTCCAGAGTGTTTGCTAATAGTCTATTTGTTGTTAAGATAATAAGAAAATGTTATGTAAACATGGCCAATAAATATTTTGTGTGTTAACATTATTTTCCTAGAAATATTGTGAATAAATAATCGAAAGAAATGCAAACCTTTTTCTTATTAAAAACTTTACATAACTTTATACACATGATTACACTTAGAGTTCTTTTTATTATAGTTTAAAAAGATTTAAAAAAATACCAATTTTAGGCTGGTCACACTGGCTTACAACACCTGCAATCCCAGTTACTCAGGAGGCAGAGGTCAGGAGATCATAGTTTGAAGCCAGTCAGGGTAAAAAGTAGCATAACCCCATCTCAACCCACCAGCTGGGTATGATAGCATGCACCTATGATTCCAACTACCCAGGAGGCAGTAAGTAGGAAGATCATAGTCTGAGGCCAGCCCTGGGGGAAAAACATGACACCCTACCTGAAAAACAACTAAAGCAAAAAAAAAAAAAAAAAAAACTAAAGGAGGAGCATGGTTCATCTGGTAGACTGCCTACTTAGCAAGAGTGAAGTCCTGAGTTCAAACTCCAGTATCACACACGCGCACGCACACACACACACACACACACACACACAAACCATATCATATATAATAGATATATGTATTAAAATGGCTACAAAGTACTTAAACATTATTGCATTAAAAAGGAAAATTGAAATGAGATACTGAAGGAGGTTAATATTAATGTATTCTAAAATTTTAAAACTTTAGAACAATGATCACTTAAGAAGCTAATTTCTGAAAATCTCTTCTGAAATCAAAATGTCACTTTATTCACAAAATACTTTAGAATTATTGTGAAAAGTCCAAAATATCTTAACATGAATTAGGGCCCAAATCATGTCATATTACATTAAAGAAACCAAGTTAACAAGCAAAAACAGGTTTAAAAAAGTTCTATTCATTTTTCTTATACATCTTTAAATGATAAGTATAAAAACCAAACATCAAATATCTTTCTATACCTTGCTACGCAGAGAAGAAATCTGCTCCAACAGCAACGTGGAATTCTGCCTGGCATGGTTTTCTATCAGTCCTCTGTGCTAAGGAGTTAAAGAAATGAGGGAACAGTAGCTAGCAAATCATTCTACTCTGTCAAGTAAGTTTGATTACTTCAATTCTTCCACAAATGGCTTAAACTCTTTCATTAAGAAGTTTTAACTACAGGAACTAAAAATTCCTTCTTTCCCTACACATATTTTTCTGATTATTCTTTCTGAGTATCATTTCAATAAACTATCAGAACAAGAGATGTGTAAAACTTTCTGAAAAAAAGATTCAACAACACTATGTTAGTGGTCCAGTTCTTGTCAACAATAATTTCTTTTTACATAAAATGTCATATTCTAAAATTTGCTAGTTATACTTTCTTTAAAAAGTCTAAAATATGTTACATAGTTGCAGATATGTGACAGCACACAGTTAAGTATATACAAAGATGCATCAGCTAACAAGTGCTCCTGTATCAGTCATGCTGATGGCAGAAGAAACATCTGAACATTTCAGGGCTACATAAATTAATTTGCTTTTCCCCACAGACTGCTAACACTCTTCCTTCCTCCCAATAAGTAATAAGCAAAACCAGCAAGTCTTCCATCAATTCTAAAAGCACAACTATAGTGCTCAAGGGAGGAGTTTTTTGTGAATTGTATTTTGGTTTTTTTTTTTAATGGGTTTTCTTAAAACCATGGCAATGAAAAGTACACCAAATATTATTTGAAAACATGGCACAACAGCTTAAATTTTACTTTTCAAGCTTTTTTGGTTCAAGTAGCTTTTCTAAGAGAGATATTCTGGAAGCTCAACAATTAGGATTGGGAGAAGCGCTATTCTGGCTGAAGTAGGAGCAGAGTCAAGCCCACTCAATTTGCCTTCCAGTCCTACCACCCAGCAGGCTTTCTGTAAGTCCCAAACCTGGAGAAACAGTGAAAATGATTGGTCTAAAGCAAGGATCTCACATGAGACATGCTTCTGACCTAAAAGCTGCTAAAATGAGAGAAAAGAAGAACCAGCTATAGCTTGTATTTAGAAGCACTTCCCAGTTATACTGCCAGCAAGTGTGCTGGCTCCATAGCTCTAAACAGTAATGTACAATGGATAAAAAAATTTAAAAACTACCCCTTGTATATTATTACTGTAACTGCTACTCAAACTTGAACTCCTCTTCTTCTAGGAAATCAGCAACACTAATTTCAATGTAGGGAGTCCTACACTTACCCAGCCTCCTCACCTTCCCTGCATGTAAGAGAGCAAGATATCCTACTGGTTTTACAACATTAATACATCCTGTACTTCACCCGGGCTTTCCTTCCAAATGCTACGACTACACTTCAGGCTCTAACGAGCTTTCCAGAACCCAACCAGTACAATCTGAAACTTACTTGTGATTAAGCCACTCTCTAGCTTATAATCATTCTGGGGTGCCTAGCCACATTTAGGACAGAATTTAACTTGTAATCATGGTGTGTAGGGTCTTTTAGGATTTGATCTAAATAGGCTCTCCAACATGCCTTTCAGCAGTAACCCCTCCCCAACAGAAACTCAAACAAACCAAAAAAAAAAAAAAAACCCACAAAAACAAAGCAAAACAAAAAACCACCATTTTTTAATGATTCTAGACTATAAACAGTTCTCTGCTCCGCAAGGTTCCTCAGTGCCTTCACAAATATTATCTTTTCTGCAGAAAGAAATCTGAAGGAAGGATACACTGCATGAATAGACTTCAGCAGAACAATATCAAGAAAAACAAAGAAGTCACGGAGATGTATCCTGAATCTCAGAAAAAAGGGAACTTATTTTTAAAAAGCATTAAGCACTAAATACAATAGCAGTAAAGGTGACAGAAACAGATAAACTGTGGAAATGGGTGTGCTTACACAGAAGGTGACAAGGACAGGGTTTTGGTTCATGTGGTATTATGTGACAGAGTACATGTAGCCTGTGCTCGGTTGGAGAACACCATATCTGCACTGAAGAAGCAAGGGTCAGTCACCTCTGCATTACTTCCATAACCCTACCCACAGCATATACTCAATCAATACTAAGTGAAAATAAGGAGTTTGCCTAGGGAGGAAGATTTGTGTGGGAAAATTTATAGGATACAGAATGTAGAAAAAGCAAGAAATTTCTTCCCCAGCAATTCCAACAATCCAGTCTCCCTTGGGCACTGATGTAAAAATAATGAATACAATGAAATTAAAATAAATGTATACCTAACACACATATGTATTTCCAATATCAGAACATTCTACTTGACACAGAAAATGTAACCTAAAATGAACATATAAGTGAAAGGATACAATTCAAATTCAATATCCGACATATAGCAGGAGGGTACATCTGATAATTTTATCATCTGCACAAATTGTAAAGCAGGGCCATAATAATGGAAAACCTGGAAAAGAAATTAAAATTGTGTAATACTTTAAATCTGGTAAATGAAATGAAAGCAAACAAATTAGTGATTATGAGTTTAAAACTTTTAAATGGATCCTATAAGCAAACTTTTACACATTGTGCAAACCAAAAATGTATCTTTTATAAAAGAAAATAATTTCTTCCATTTCAACTCTATCTTTCAGAATGGGCAAACATGGAGATTTCTTAGTAATCAGAAAGAGTTACCATGGGAGAAAATAAGTATGGAAAGAGGCAAGCAAAATTGAACAAGAGTTCTCAACTTTTGCTGTTTATCTTCAGTAAGACAGATCATCCAAGAGGCTACCATGTTGAAGAAACACTCCTACCTCAGCAGGTGGGATCTGCAGAGCTGAAAAAAGAAAGAAAAGATACCCCAGGAGGAACCTGGGTTGAGCGGTTTGCTGAACTAATTCTGGAGAAAAGACTGAAGAAATTAAAGAGAGAAAAAATGAAGTCAACAGGTACTATTTAACAGAGTCCCCCACCTGGAGAAATAAAATTTCAGTAGTTCCTTAAGTAGAGACTAAGACTAAATTAGAGCAGGCTAGTAAAGGAGAGTTGCTTCAATAGCTGGAGCTAAAGTGCCTCACATAAAGAACAAAGAAAAGAGCATACATCTTGAAGAAACTAGTTTTAGATTTGCAAAGAAGTGGAGTAATTATACAATGTGTGATTTTGTGTGTGCATGTACATGTGTGCACACACACATAGCTATATGTACACATGGAGGGAGATAGAGGGATTCTTACATTTATTGAAGAGGTTATACACTAAGGTAACCTTCAACAGGAATATTGTACTACCAAAGAAGAAAAGTTGAGCTCATCAAATCTTATGATTCCAATATTTAGGAAATAATTTACTATGAAAGGTCATAGAAAATTACTTAAAGCAATTCTAAACAATACTAGGAAATATGTTCACATCAGAACCTACATCCTTTCTCCAGCACCCTTTCATCAGAAAACATTGTCAATTTAATATCTTTGTAATCATGATAAATTGGGTCTTTTAAAGTGAATTTCTAAAGTGTTTTCATATAAATACCTCCTCTTATGCTATTTTTCAATGTCAAAAAAAAAAAAAGACAGCTATACCCTTTTCTAATTATTGTATTTTCTAGCTACCTGCATTTTAAGAAAAAAATAACCTATTGAAGGTATAAGAATGAGCACTTCTTTAAAGTATAAATTAAGCATGTATCCGGTACTGTGTCAGATGGTAATCTCTTACCTCTAGTTCTCATGGTAACTTTTTATACCCAGAACCTAATAGGTAACAGATTCAAGTTTCAAATGCAGTTCTATCTAACACCAAAGCCCAACCTCTTTCTACTATATTATACTCAGCCTCTTTATGCTGTATCATATTCTGTCAAAACTGAGCTTTAAAAGGTGGTAAAGTCCAAACGCAAGATAGTTTCATGCTTATACTGATTTAAAATTAGGATCACACTTTTAAAAAATCTCTAACAATCCTAGTTTCACCAACATTTAATGTTGATAACAATATACCAAGAGCTTAATTATAAGAATTACAAGAATTATGAAAGTGAGCACACTTAAACACACAAATTAGTAGTAATTCAAGATTCAAACAGATTTTATAGGAACAAAAATATGCACAAATCAATGATAGCAAAAAAAAAATTAACAGGTAGTTACCTTAGGCAAAATATTCTTATCTTTTGATGGTGTTATCTTTTTGGCAAGAAAGCAAGTATTTAAATTAGACATACTAAAACTCCTAGGTGTGACTCCCTTTAAACAAAACTCAGGAAAACTAATTTCAAATCCAAACTGAAAAGAAACCAAGAGAATATAGTTGTAGTTATCATGAATAAAGTTAGAAAGATTAATACATCACATTACAATGTAAAAGCTGAGAAAGGAAACTTGACTTCATGTAAGTATATAAAGATAAATACAAATTTATTTTGATTCTGCAGCTCAAAGGGTAGTTCTCCACGTAGGTACACACATTTCTATTTTAACTTGGACATGAGTTTTTCATTAAAAGTTCTCATTGACCCTTAATGAGCCAGCAAGATTATGCTAAGTCTATTCTATGCAATAGGACCAATCAACCTCCTTTGCATATGCAGGTTCAGTATGTCTTCCTAACAGTCTGTAAGTGATGCAAAGACAGAAGAGGTCTCTTATTCACTAGTAGATCCTTAGTACATTGTCTCACATACAGTCAGCCTTCAAAATGTATTGATGAGAAGATCAATTACTACAGAAGTCACGACAGTAGTACTAATAATAGTGATAGTAGCAACAGTAGTGATGACCAACACTTACTGTATGGTGTTTTGTGCTTTAAACAATTTAATTCTCATAAAAATCTATGAGCTGGAACTACTATCCTACAGAAGAAGACAACTGGGGCACCAAGACGTCATGTAAAACTAGACTTTAAGCAGTGTAATGCCACCTGGCTGAAAGATATTTTTCTGCTAAAAAGGCAACTTCAAGTTTTAGATGCATCCTGTGGATGTATGGACATGGAATCTCCTGTTAAAAAGGATTAAAAGAATAATGAGAAGAACATTGGTGTTATCTGTTTTTATGTAAACAGGTAGTTTCAGAAAGTATAAAAGGTAATTCTCCTAGATATTTTTATTCTTCAATTTGGCTATACATGCACTGTTTTTTTTTTAATCCCTATTAAAACACCTTGCCAAGGTGGTTCACCCAAGATTAGGATGATTCAACATACAAATCAACAAGACAGACCCAGAACACTAGCTCCTATTATCTTACTAACAGTTTTATTAAGCCATTAGTAAGGATGAATCATAAAGGGAAAAAAGTGCAAAAAATTTTAAAGGAATGCAAGGGCCTAGTCATGTTCTCATGCTACCCTGCACCTGCATTAGGGATTTTCCTTGGCTTAAGTCTGCCTATCTACAAAAATACATAAATTAATAGGATCACTTACTTCAAAGCAGATGCAGCATATAAAATAAACTACAAAATGTATTCATTTATAGTTAAAGATGCCAGAATGCAATCTGACCCTCAGAAATTTAGGATTGAAGGAATCCAACTAACCTAATACTCTCATCTTGTGGTTGAGTTATCTAGTGTCTAATATAGCTGGGCTTTTTTGTTTTTTAATGTTCAAAATTAGACAGCTAGATAGGTAAAGGCAGAGATTACCAAAGATGGAATTATAGGTAACTAACTGTTTGAAACAGTTTTTCCAGTAGATCACAGATGCAATAAAATAAAAGCAACTTGGATAAATACATGAACGTGGATAATGTCCAATTCTGTCTTGAAAGTATTATATTCTAGGACAGTCGTACCCCAAACATAACCACAGTGACTATTTAAATTAAAATTAATTAACATCAAATCAAGTTAAAAACTCAGTTCATCAGTTGAGCTAGTCATAAAGTGTTCAGTAGCAATTTGTCTAGTGGGTCATTGTATTAGTTACAGGAACAGAACACTTCTATTATCACAGAAAGTTCTTCTTACTGCAAGTCTAGAGCATATTCATAGGGTACATTTACATAAAGATTTATTTAAACTATGTTGTAAATAAAGTTGAAAGGCCTGTTTTGTATACTGTAATGACTGAGAAATCCATTCACCTTTCTTTCCCAAATCTGAATCTTTCCCCTCCATAATTCCTTGGGATCAATAACATTTCTGAGTTCTTCTAAAGACACAACATTAGCAGAAAGGTATTCTGCAATTTTCTGACAATTTCTGTTAAAAAAAAGATTATGAAAATTAATATTTTACTTATATTTAATGCTTACAATTTTAACTACAAGCCTAAGAGGCAAAATTGCAAAGTTTATATCACTGTTGCTTTTCAGCAAATATTATGAAATACCCATTAAGTCTGTCAGTTTTTAAGTAAGATCTGCTACATGTTGGTTTAATGACAAATCTCCATAAATTAAGAGTAGTTATTTTTATTACTAAAGAGGAAGAAATAGACCTTCCCTTTATTATTGGCTTAAACTGTCAGATGTACACTCAGACTCAACATTGGTTTCTTATCTCCTAAAACTGAACTGCTCTCCTAAACTATACCCCTAGGGCTTTGTATGGAGTTCAATGAAAGCACTTATCACAGATTATTTTGACCGTTAGCATTCCTGTTTTTCCCTGTACTTCCATAAAAAAGACTATGCCACCTCACTTTCTTAACTTATCAGCATCTATTGCTATGCTTTGTAGAAAGTTAGTGCTCAATAAGATAAACATTTTTTAGTGAAAAAAACCATGAAGTTAATAAATCCAATTTGAATACTAACTTAAGAATCAAAACTGGATTATACAATTGATTCCAACTAAACTTCCATAAAATAAAAAAGCATATATTTATTTCTACATTGGCACACAACAGAAAAACTTAGTATGACACTATATACATCCAGCGTATCCAAGTATCCATGGTTTTCACCATGCTGCTCATTGAACAGTACAAGACTATGTAGAAGCTCACAGTGAGTTTGAAGAATGACTGCTCAAGAATGGTCATAAATCCTCTTCAACAATATTTACCAAAAACTTAAACATCTTGGAATTACGAAATAAGAAAAATCTAGATTCTTCTCAATATATAAATCTCCAATCATAATGTGACAGAAAACTTTACCTTCTCACATTAAAATAATTTTCAAATGCTGAATCTCTTAAAATTAAGGTAGCATGCTTGGCCAACAGAAGCAATCATTAAGTATGACCAAAGGAGCTTACGTTTCCAAATGATTTCCCGCTACAGTGACTTTTGCCGAATGCCATCCCCTCAGATGCTTTAATGCCCCTACAGCAGGCAAACAGTCTTTTAATTTAGGAGGATCTTTCTCAGAAGGCAATAGTATTATGTCTATCATTGCTCTCCCTAGAAAAAGAAAAATACATTTTGTAATTTTTTTTAAAGATGTAAGATCTGAAAAGTCTTAAAATAGCACCCCGAACAACTGAATTTCAGGTCTATTTAGAGGATAAAGGAATATTTTAACTTTAGTTTCTGAAATTCTTCAAAACAACACACATATTTAGGAGCTCAAAATTGTAAGAGTTCATCATTTGATTTAAAGCCATGTTATCTCGAAATAGCTAGCATATGCTAGAAAACAATAAACTATATCATAATTGCTTGCCAATTCTGCAGCAGTGGTTAATTATACACGCTGCTCTGGCGATCATCAACACTATTGTACTCACAGAGGAAAACAAAACATGTGCAATTTCATTATATTTTTCTACACTTAATTTTGTTATCCAAAAGGGAATGAATTAGTATAAAATTCAAATGCTCAAATAAATTATTACTCTTTAAAAGACAATAAAACATGAGAAAAACCAATTATACTAACATCATTAGATTCTGAGAAAGGATAACTTCACATCAGTTTAAATTTTATAAAATTATAAATGTACCAAAGGACCAGAAAAATGAAAATGAAACAGAAACCAAACAAAAATTTGATCATGAAAGTCACTTAATTTTCCAAAATAGCATCTGTGTATTATTTCATTTCATATTTTGAACCTGACATATTTTAAAACTGAGGGTCTGGGGTAGTGACTCAGTGGTAGAGCACTTGCTTAGCATGCACAGGCCTTGGGTTCAATCCTCACCACTAAAAAACAGTAAAAAGAAAATTGATACATTTATTGATACATTCGTTATTTGCTATATGGGACTTGCAGCATTAAACTTTTGCATTAAATGCTTTCTCCTTGAATATAAGGATTATACTGTCTGTGAGCTACAAGATTTTGTATGGTAATAACCTATCCATATCATTGTACACTCAGCTTCTAGTACAATGCATAACATAAAAGACACAACAGACATCTGCTTAACAAATGACCTCCAACATGGTGGCTCACCCCTGTAATTCATTACTTAAGAGGAGAAATTGTGAGAATTATGGTTCTAAGTCAGCACAGGCAAAAAAAAAAAAAAAAAAGTTACCAAGACCACATTAAAAAAAGTAAGAAAAGTACAGTTGTAGTGTACAATCATAATTCCAGCTAGACAGGTGATGTAGGTAGGAGGATCTTGGTCTAAGGCTGCCTTCCAGCAAAATGAAAAAAAAAAAAGACAGGGCTGGAGGCTTGGCTCAAGTGATAGAGCACCTGACCAGCAAGCGCAAAGCCCTGAGTTCAAACCCCAGTACAGCACAACAAAACAAAACAAATGAAAGCATTCCATTCAGAGAAGGAGGCTCTGCAAAAAAGTGTGAATGCAAATTGTACCAAATTTTAGAAGACAGCTACTTAATTAACACAAAGACAGATCAGTTAAGGACAAAAAACAGTTTTAAGAATATCACAAAGTATCTTTTCCATTATAGGAAAAAAAATGGGTTCTATAAAAAAATCTGAGCAAAGAGCTTATTTTGCTGCACAAAATTCCATTTGATAAGGTACATCCTGACTTCTCCATAAAGAATGCTACTGAGATTATCAAGGTTAAAGAAACTATTTTTTCCAAGAGTTTATAAGATTAGTGTTCTATAAAACATATTTAATTTATCAATCACTGATAAAAAGAAGAAAATACAATTTATTGAAAAGCTTTAAAAAATTACCAGGAGCAGGAAGCTTGTCTGATAACTGATGCAAATTTTCTGCAGATTCTTCATATAGTCTAAAATAAAAGCATAAGTTTAGAGGAAAAGACCCACACAGGTATATTACATTATTACCATAGCAGGCAACAACAAACTGTGTGCCAGACGCTATTAAGTATATTAGATTCACTACTTATTCGGATAATCCTGATGACAATCCTACCGTCGTTATCTCCACGTTAAATAACTTGCTTAAAATCATAAAACTATGACATATGGAAATTGGATTCAAACTCCAAGTACACTGAAAAAACAAACACAATCAAGAGCAATAACAAAGGAAACAAAAGCCCCAAATTACATTTAACATATTAAATATAAATGATAATAGACCAGACACCTTTCTTAATTATCACAGTAAGATATCACTAAGTGTTTAATACATACTGCTTTCATTGCATTTAACAGTCCTCTCTGAGACCATGATACCCTCTTCAGAATCTTCAAAACCTATTAATTTTACCCATATAATTTTTTTAAAAATAGTTTATCATCTTGCTAAAGGTACTTAAATCCTTTATTATAAACCCATATTGTCTAACAAATTTTTAAGGCATCTCAAGTTAAACTATAATGTTCAGGCTCCCTCTTGTGGAAATATTAGGTCACTTACTAAAAATATTTACTTTAACACTAGTCTTTTTAAATGATAAGAAATCATGAATTGATTAGAGCTTGTAAGGCTGAATGAAAGTACCTTAGAAGTCATCTAAAAGGACCTCAACACTGGATGGACAAGAAAAAAAAAGGAACAGAGAAGCCATATTCCTGGCCTGAGAGCATATAACTAGAGGCCGCTTTCCCAAATGCTGGTTCAATGCGTGCTCTTTCCCTGATTCTACAATTTCTTCCTTCATTAACCAGCATAAACAATATGATGAGGAAGCAGGAAAAGGGGATTTTTAAAGCTTGTGTAACTTACAGACATATTACAATATATGAATACTAAAAGAAAGCAAAGGCAGTTTGCTGTCATGAAATATTATGAAGACTATGAGTCAGAGATGAATATTTTATGGTGAAAAAAAATTTCAAAACTTATCACCTGGATCATTTTATATACTATATCACAATTCAAAAGACTTAGAAGTGAACTGAATCATGTTGATAATCTTCAATAACTCTGTAGGTTTTTTAAAGCATCTGAAATGCTGAAGGAAATGTGTTAGAAAAAAACCCACACATTTCAGCCTCAACTAGGAAAAAGAAAATGATATTTTGGTTTGAATGCTATCTATTAATATTAAATAACATTTCTTGCCAAGCTCTTAAAATGTCATAACAGACAGAATTTATCTTCAAGAAAGTAACGTGTTCATTACAAATCACTAAAAACATTTTCAAATATCAATTTTTGCATTTTAAAGAATTTTCTTAAGTAAAGGATCTGATGTCTTCCAAAATTAAAAGTTAAAAATTTCAATTGACTAAAGTTTCCTTACTATAGTTGCTAAAATGTACAATCTTTACATTCCTGGCTTAAAATAACTATCTAATGTTAGGTACCTAAAGAGAGTATAAAAAGTATATAAGCATACTCAGCCAAGGGTAAGGATTTCCTGCTACTGCAATCTTCTTCCTCAAAACACTCAACAGTGCTCAAGCATTCTTCAATATTTTTTTGAAGAACATCTTCAATCTTATCTTTTTCTTCATCAAAATGTATCTCTTGCCAATCAGAACTACAAAACTAACAAATCAAAAGATAGCATTAATAATGGATTCATGAAATTCTTTACAGAAACAAAGACTTTTTTACAAATAACTATTACCTGATAAAATCCACATATTGCCTGCACTGCAAAGAACCACTTCTTGGCACCAGGAATACCTCCCACTGAACAGGCTTGAAATAAAATCACACTCATTAGAAGACCACAAATAAGCAAATGTGATAGTGTATACGCTTACAGAATTATACAATTCTGAAACATATTCTACAGTTCTACAAGGTACATGCATGTGTGGTGTATGTATATACATACACATATATACACATATGGATACATATATGCATAAACACACACAAACACAAACACAAATGTGGATCTTTTAAAAATGTCTATGAAAAATTCAAACAGAAAGATCTACCTAAAGAACAAAGTAGCTCACAACACACACTTTGCATTATTTTATCATGATTCAGAATCCATATTATTTTAATTATCATCTCAAACAAGTTAAATTTAACCCTAATAATACTGAAAAATACACCCACTCAATTACAGCTGAGCATGTACAAATTGATTACAAAACCATGTAATCAATTAAGTAAAAAAGTTTCCCCCTCTAAAATCATACAAGTTTGTTTCAACCTGGTTAGAGGTTCCAAAAAGAGATGCTCTTTTTGGAAAATGCACAATTACATGAGGGTATGAAATTAAGGGTCACTCCAAGGTACCCATCAGAGAAGGCATAAATAATTTAAAGCTACAGAAACCAGATTCAGAGGGAAGAGAAATGTATGGTGAGTCTTAACTCATGGATGCTAGTAAGATGCTAAGTGTCTATTAAACTTTCTTCCAGTGATCTCAGGAGGAATATGAGTTCGAGGCCAGCCCAGGCAAAGGAAGAAAAACCCTATCTCAAAAACAAAACACAAACAAATGGGCTGGGGGCCTGGCTCAAGTATGAGGGCCTGGGTTCAATTCCCAATATCACACACACAAAAAAAATGGCCCCATTACCAAGAGTACTATTAGAACTTGGAAAACTGACTAGGGCAACATATACATATTAGACACATTTACCAATGGTGATGGTTGACACTGACAGATGACTGGTTTTTTAATGGAAGGAAACAAGAAGGAGCAGATTACACAGCCATAAGAACTACAAGTTATTTAAATGAGCACACTCTTCCTAGAATCTACAGGAATTTCCTTCAGCTTTTAGGGCTTGGTTTGTTTTGGCATTGCCATTTCATTGCCTTTAAAGGACTCTCTCAGATAGAATCCCAAAAACTAGAGCATAAAAGATAGCTTGGATGCTTTTATAAAATGCCAATAGAAGTTAAAGGATAAAAGACTTTTTTTTGAAAAAGTGAAATACTTCAAAAAGTCAAAGCAAATGAAAACCTTAATTGTTTAATAATTATGAAGTTCTTTTAAGAGAATCAGTAAGAAGCCAGGTACCAGTGGCTCACACCTGTAATCTTAGTTATCTGGGAGGATGAGATGTGGAAGGATTGTGGTTCAGGGCCAGCCAGGGCAAAAAGTTAGTGAGACCCCGGCCCCCGCTTCTCAACCAATATCTGGGAACAGTAGCATATAGCTGTCATTCCAGTTTACACAGGAGGCTAAGATTGGAAGGATCAAGACACCAGCCAGCCAAGGCAAAAAAGTTTGTGAGACCCCATCTCAAAGGAAAAAGGCTGGGTATGGTGAGGTAAAATAAGAAGATCATACTTCAGGCCGCTCTGGGCAAAAAAGCAAGATCCCCATCTCCAAAATAACCAAACCAAAAAGGACTAGGGACATGGTTCAAGCTGTAGAGTACCTGTGCTACAGCACAAAGTCCTGAGCTCAAACCACAAAACCATCAAAAAAAAAAAAAAAAAGAAAATCAGTAAGAGAAGAGGACAGAAAAAACAGTTAAAGATATTGGTGTAGCCCACCTTGTTCTTGACAAAGGTGCTAAAAATAAAAGATGGAGAAAAGACAGCTCTTCAACAAATGTTGTTGGGAAAAGTGGTAAACCATCTGCAAAAAACTGAAACTAGATCCATGTTTATCACCCTGTACTAGTATCAACTCAAAATGGATCAAGGACCTTAATATCAGAACTGAAACTCTAAAGTTGGTACAGGAAAGAGCAGGAAACACTCTGGAAGTAATAGGTATAGGCAAGGACTTCCTCAATAGAACCCCAGCAGCTCAGCAACTAAGAGAAATGGGACTTCATAAAACTAAAAAGCTTCTGCACAACAAAAGAAATGGTCTCTAAACTGAAGAGCTCACCCACACAGAGGGAGAAAATATTTGCCAGCTATACATCAGACAAAGGACTGATACCCAGAATATATAGGGAACTCAAAAAACTAAACTCTCCCAAAATTAATGAACCAATAAAGAAATGGGCAACTGAACTAAATAGAACTTTCTCAAAAGAAGAACTTCAAATGGCCAAAGAACACATGAAAAAATGCTCACCATCTCTAGCATAAAGGAAATGCAAATCAAAACCACACTAAGATTCCACCTCACCCCTGTTAGAATAGCCATCATTAAAAACACCACTAAAAATAGGTGTTGGCAAGGATGTGGGGAAAAAGGAACCCTCATACACTGCTGGTGGGAATGCAAACTAGTGCAACCACTTTAGAAAAAAAATTGAAGCTTCTTAAAAATCTAAACATAGATCTGCCATATGATCCAGCAATCCCACTCCTGGGGATATACCCAAAGGAATGCAACTCAGGTTACTCCAGAGGCACTTGCTCACCCATGTTTACTGTAGCACTATTCACAATAGCCAAGTTACGGAAATAACTAAGGTGCCCCACTACTGACAAATGGATTAAGAAAATGTGGTATTTATGCACAATGGAATTCTACTCAGCCATGAAGAAGAATGAAATCTTATCATTTGCAGGTAAATGGATGGAACAGGAGAATATCATTCTGAGCAAGGTTAGCCAGGTTCAGAAGACCAAAAATCGTATGTTCTCCCTCATATGCAGACTTTAGATGTAGGGCAAATACAGCAATGTGGTTGGACTTTGGGCATATGATAAGGTGAGAGCACACACAGGAGGTATGGGGATAGGTAAGAAACACAAAACATGACAGTATTTGATGTCCCCACTGCAGAGGAGCTAATACAGAAACTTTAAAGTGACAGAAGTCAATACGAGAAGGGGATCAGGAACTAGAAAAAAGAACGGTTAGAGATAATCAACTTAGAATGTAACATATTTGTACATGGAAGCAATGCTAGGAATCTCTCTCAAATGCTTTGTCTTTCTTATTATTGTTTATACTCTCTTCAACAAAATTAAAGATAAGGGCAGAACAGATTCTGCCTGGAAGTGAGGGGGAGTTGGGGGGAGAGGGAGGGGGCGAGGGTAGGGGAGAGAAATGGCCCAAACAATGTATGCACATATAAATAAACACATTAAAAAAAAGATACTGGTGTGGAAACATGAATGATGTTTTTCTTAGGATAAAAAGCCTCCTCATGATACTACATCATCCTGTCTTAAATATATCTAAAGATGGGCAAGAAAATTTCATTAAGGGAACAAAACTCAAGTTGGGAACCCAGTATAATTTTGCTAACAATTTTATGACAACTAAATACAAGGAGGAGAAAGATAATGTACTTTTAGATTTTGTATTTCCTTAAGTTACTTTGGTATCCCAGTGCCTTATTCAAAGTCAACAAGTATTTCTTGTACTCCTATGTGACCAAATGTATTAATTTCCAATACAAGTGCTGTTTCAGAGAAAAAAAGGGGTTCATACTATAATTACCAGGGAAAGTACTATCATCTGGATTGATTGAAGCACTAATGCTTTTTTTCAGGAGGTGATAAATATTTGCTGCTGTGAAGTCTGAAAAAGAAAAGACAGGCTAAGTCAATAGGCTCAAAAGTTCCCATTTCACCACCAAATGCTCTGAAGATCAGTAAGTTGTACATAAAATTACACATTAATCAAGATCTATATCTTTTGATACTATATCAAAGGGCTCCTGATTCATACATTGCGTACAGTTAGCAGAAATCAAATATTCCCTCCAAAGAACAGGAATTTCACAACACCTTAATATAAGCACATACATTTCCTCCTCAAAATACCTGCTTGATGAAAACAAACAAGTAAAATGCTGTATAGAGAGTCTAGACAAGAGCACCAAAAAGCAGCGCAGTTGCAAGCAGTTAAAATCATTTAAAATTTGTCATTTCCCTTTTTAAACTTAGTTTTTATAAGATGTCTTCTATTAAAATGCAAACTCTAAGTCAGCAAGACCCCTGCTCCTTAATGTATTACCTGCGTATGCAACACAAGAAGCGAAAATATCTCTTGAATGCATACATTAGTCCAAAGAGCAGAAATTCCATTTCTAAGGCACAGGGGCTTGAAGTGACTAAATTTTTACGGCGCCTGCAACTTTGGGGCGCTGAAATCTTGCATCCATCATTTGGAGCGATTTTCCCATGAAGGTAACACTTTTCAGCCTTCGTTACATCTATCTCAAATAGATCTACAGCTCTCTGGAACAACTGGACCCATGTCCCTCATCAATCAACCTGATCACAAACTTTCCCGTCCCTGCAAGCCATTCCCGCCTTTTCTTTTCTTTTTTCTTTTGTTAATCAGCCCAGCACTCACCGGGCTGCTTCTCGGTTCCCTCAACCGACGACACCTCAGGCCCAAGCTCCGTCTCCCCACTAACAGCCGATGGAAACTTTCCTTCCCCCCAGATCACCAGCAGCAGGTACCGATCCATGGTCCCCAGCGCTCCCCGCCAGTTTCTTAGCTTAAAACAGCCGCGCGCCAGACGCACTTCCGGTTTGCTTCCTCTTAGGTCGCTTGGAAATTGGGTCCTCTGTCGGTTTTCCAGGAACGTTCAGGAATTATTCTAGGGAATTATTATATCGATTACTGCATGGTTTCCTCCTTTCGTGATGAAATTGTCACTGTGGGAAGACTGAAGTGGACCCAGGAAGAAAGGAGGCGCAGATGAATTCTGGACGGGCCTAGGAACTCTTGTGCGAGGGTACATGCGTTTCCTGCCGGGCTACTAATGCTGATGACCCGGCTCGGCTTCGGGAAACCCGGGACGGCCCTGCAGCTGGGGAAGCCATGTCGAGGTTCTCCAGGGCGCCGCAGGTGAGCTCCGACTGTTCTGGCTTGATGGTGTGCAAAAGGAGAGCAGCGGTTCCCGCGCAGTTAGTAGCAAACTGGGTCTGCAGGGAAGGCGGGACTGTTGTGTATATGTGATACAGAGCCCGCAGATGGTGGCCTTAGGAAAGCAGAGAGACCAGAGGGTCGTGAGTACGGACACCGCTTGCTGTCTTTCTTTTGGAACTTGACCACTTTCTTCTCAAGAAGTCACGCTTTTCATGCCTCCCCCCACCCCCGCCAAAGATTATTAGGAGACATCAGAGAAGTAATAAGGTGAATCACATCGGGCACTGGAAGAATCGGGTTTTTGCTGAGTGCAGTGGGGGCCTGTTGGAGGGTTCTGATCTAAAGAATTAAGATGATCTGACTTAGATGTGAAAAGGGACACCCGGCTGTTGGGTGAAGAGAGGATGGAACCAATAGGATTCCTTCCTTCCGTCCGGTTAGCTATTTGCCTGGGTTGGCCTTCAACCTCAGTCCTCCCAATTTCATCCTCCCAAGTAGCTGGGATTACACGTGTGAGCCACCAGCACCATGCTCAATGGGATTTCTTGAAGTATTGAATGTGGGCTGACATCAAGAAGCAAGGATCACTTTTAAGGTTTTTGGGTTTGGACAGCTGGATGGGTATGATGTGGGGAAGGCCGAAGTTGAAGTAGGTTTCAAGCGAAAGAGTAGGAGTTTGAGGTTTGTTAGTCCAAGATGATTCTCAGCCCAGTGTTACTTAAAGTATGGTTCCTTCCTTGGACTGTTGGTTACCTGCCTGATTCGAGGTAAATGCAGGAAGTGCATTTTAAACATTTTAAAATTTTTACAGCATTTGGACATTGCAGCTGCATTTTTTGGTTTGCTTGTTTTGTTGGTTCTGGGGTTTGAACTAAAGGCCTCAGACTTGCTAGACAGGTGCTCTACCACTTGAGCCACTCTGCTAGTCCTTTTCTTGTGATGGGTTTTTTCAAGATAGGGTCTCACTAACTATTTGCCTGGGTTGGCTTCAAACTCTGCCTTCCTAGTAGCTAGGCATGAGCCATGGGCCAGCATTTGTATTTTTTTAAACCAAAGTATTAAGTTAATACTGCATTGGGTGGGGAAAACTTACCTTTTGCCTATGAGTAGACTAGTCTGAAGTCTGATAATTAAATATAAAATAAAACCACTAGTCAAGGTGTATTTTCCCCAACTGTGTTTCATCTCTTGTGTTTACCTGTACTGAAAGCATCTGATGGAGATTTTTCTGGGCTGGGATTTTCTTAAAAGTTTGAAGGCACTAATGAATACTGAAAAAATGATCTATGTCTGAGGCAACCTAAAAATATATTTTGAAAGCAATTCTTTAAAATTTGCATATGTTCAACTTCAGCTATACTTTCCCAACTTCATTGTTCTATTTAACTCTGCCTTAGAATTCAATCCTGAGTTGTCTTCACTTTCCAACTGAACACTTAACTTTCAGTATAATGCACCTGTTAATTTCAAGATACTTATGAGGCTGGGCCAGTGGCTACTCAGGAGGCAGAGATCAAGAGGACTGTGATTCAAAGCTAGCCTGGGCAGATAGTTCAAGAGACTATCTTGAAAGAATACCCAACACCAAAAAAGGCTGGTAGAGTGGCTCAAGTGGTAGAGTGCCTGCCTAGCAAGCATTAGGCCCTGAGTTTGAATTCCAGTACTGCTAAAAAAAAGATAATAATAAAAGACTTCCTGTCTCCAAAAATAGAAATGAAAGCAAAACAAAAGTTTTAATGATAGTCTGTTTTTCAAAGTAATTGTTAATACTAACTGTAGAATACCTACAGTGGTATATGTAATATATTTAATTATTTCCACTTCAGTTAGAATTTTTTTCTTCACTCTTTTCTTACTTTGTTTTCAAGCAATGGGCCACTTTTGCTCGAGTATGGTATCTCTTAGATGGGAAAATGCAGCCCCCAGGCAAACTTGCTGCTGTGGCATCAATAAAACTTCAAGGACTACATAAACCTGTATACCATCAACTGAGTAAGTATCATTTTAGACCTGTCATTAAAATCATCATTTTCACTCCTAGAATAGAATCTATTTTGTTATTGTCCTAATAATAGATTTCATTATAACAGTTTCATACACGTATATAACATATTTTGATCATTTTCACATACCCCATCACCCTTTCTTGCCCCCTCTCTACTCCCGTTGGTCCCCTTCCTCTTGTCAAATATTCCCCCTTTTATTTTCATGTCTCCTTTCTTACCCAACCCAGATATGAGAGAAAATGTGATATTTGTCTTTCTGAGTCTGGCTTTTTTGGCTCAACATGATCTCCAGTTCCATCCACTTTCCTGTAAATACATGTTTTCATTTTCTTTAGACTGAATAATACTCCATTGTGTACATGTACCACATTTTCTTTATCTGTTCATCAGTTGATGGGCACCTAGGCTGATAGCATAACTTGGCTATTGTGGGTAGTGCTATAATAAACATGAATGTGCAGGTGTTCCTGTTGAATGTTAACTTAGATCCCAGAATTGAATCTTGATGCAATTTGAAGGCACTATGTTTAAGGATCCCTTATTCTTGGTGAGGATTTTTTGTTCCATTCTTTCTGAAAACTTCATAGGACACTAAACTTAATTTGGCTTATTGATAGGAAAACCCTATGGACTGGTTTTCCTGGGACAATCCCTTTTTATGCCACTGCCAAAAAAAATTACTAGTAGCTGTTCCTTTCACTCCCAGAAGTATCCTGACTTATATTATGAATTAAATATTCCCTTTTATACAAGTCTTTTGTGATGACATGCATTTGAATAGAGAGCTTTTAAAACTAAGGGAAATAATCATCCCTTCTTTTCTAAAAATCCTTTTCCCTAGAAAGATATATTGTTAAAGCTAGCTAGGTGTTAAAGGTTGCTTTTCACTGTTTTGAATTAATAGATTTTCTTTTCTGTATCCTCTTTCTAAAACAAAGTAAAAGGCTGTTTTCCTTCTAGAAGAGTTCTGCTTATCAATAGTTTGATTTGACTGTATCTTTTGAGGCTCTTCACTGCCAGATCCAAGTGTCAGTTCTGAGTGGGTTCATCTCTTTTCACCCCTTTACAGCATTTTCTTCAATTTTGGTTTTCTTTTTTTTTCCCTTGGTGGTATTGGCTGTTGAACATAGGGCTTCCCACTTGCTAGAAGATTCTCTATTACTTGAGCTGCTCTACCTGCCCTCTTTACGTTGTTTTTTTGTCTGTTTGTGTTTTTGAGATAGGGTCTCGCTTTATGCCCAGGCTGGGCTGGACCACAGTCTTCCTACCTGTGCTTCCCTGTGAGCTGAGATGAAAGGCACATACCACTGCAGCCATCCACTGGCTGAGATTGGGTCTCTTGAACTTTCTCCCTCGGGCTGGCCTGGAACCACCATCCTCCCAATCCCTGCCTATAGGGTGGCACGTTTTAACATTCAATTAGTATTCGAAGTTTTCTCAAGGCACACGTAGAGATTTTCCTGAGGTACAGCCCTTGCACAGGATTCACTGGTGCCTGAGAAGCTGTTGTGTCTTTAAGCAGTGTGTTCTGCAGTAGCATTTAAGAGTTTCCATTACTCTTCATCCTCAGGAACACTAGATACGTCATTCTTTTTACATTTGATTGCTGGATTTCAAATCTAGTAGACGTGAATGCTCTTTGTAGTTTTAATTGCATTTTCCTGATTGAAAATTGGGCTGAATATCTTTTATTTATTTATTGGCTTTTACAGTTTCCTTTTCTATGAAATCTCTCTGCATGTCTTTAGCCTATTTTTCTGCTGAGTTGTTTTATCTTTTACTTTTTTCTTTCATTACTGAAGTTTTCAAATTTCTGAAAATCTCAAAATAAGTATGAATTTCCTCATACTTTCTACCTAAATAACATGATTGCTAACACTTAACCATTTGTTTTTTACTTAGCCATTTGAAAATAAACTCTAGGTGTTATTGTATCTCTCCTTAAATACTTCAGCATATATCTCCTAAGAGCAGAGATTATTTCCTATGTAACCAAAATGCCATAGCCACACCTAAGAAAATGAACAATAACTTAATGGCTTAAAGACGCAATAGCTTCTTACATGCCAATAATTCCTGTCCTATGAATACATCTCAGAAAACATCGTTCCAGTGCATTTTAAATTTTCCCAAGAATTTTCTTAGAACTGTTGTTTATTTCAGCCTAAATTCATTCAGGGTTTACTTATTGCCTTAAGTTGTTACATTCCCTTAGTCTCTTTTAATTGAGAACAAACCTTTTATTTTGTTTTTCTTGTCATGAACTTTTTGAGGAATAGAGACTAATTTTAATAGAGAACTTTCTAGTGGAAACACCATCTTCAGTTATTTTCCTCGATGCCATTCTCTTTTTACTTACTCTTTTTTAGGTACTCTTTTTAGTAAGTACTAAAAAGTGAGAGCACCCCAGGGCCCAACATTTGGAACCTCTTCTCATTCATTAAATGATTGACTTCTGAATCATGGCTCCAGAACTTTTCTTTGTGTTTAATGATTCCCAAGTGTGTATCTCTAGTTTTGACTCTTTCCCTGAAATCTAGAACCACATAACCAATTTCTGCTCAGCAAATCCTCTTGGGAATCTAGTAGACTTCTCCAGCAAATAAACCTATTTGGAGGCATCTGGCTTCAGACTCCCCAGCTGAAACCAGTCTGTTCCTTCCCAGTTTTCCCTATCTCAATTAATAGCATCTCTGTTCTGTTACTTGTTCTGGCTTGAAGCCTTTGCTTCATCTGTGATTCCTCTTTGTTGAAACCCCCTCCATAAATGTATTTACTTAAAAAAATAGAAAGAAATTATGCCCGAAATCTGACACGTCTCATCATCTCTCCCTTCTACACTAATTTTAAACTACTGCACTCCCTGTCATATCTGCCCTCATGTCATTTTTCTCCAAGAGCTGCCTCAGTTGTCTTTTCCAAATGGCAGGGTAAAAGCTAAAGCTCTGCCAATGAAAATGCCATGAAAGAACTTACTAATGTGGCCCCTATTGTCTGATTTTATTTCCTGCCTCTCCATCCCCTGAGCAATCCTCTCAGGCCTGCTGCCATTTCCTTAATTTGCCTAACAAGCACATTTTTTTGCCTTAGGGCCTTTTCACATTCTATTCCCTCTACCACATATCTGCTTGGCTTATTCCTTTACACCTTTCATATTTCTGCTCAATCATTTGTATTTTGAGGAAGGCTGTTTCCCTAATCCCTCTGCCTGCTCACCCTTTCACTGAACCTTTACCTTGCTTTTTTTTTTTTTCCTCTTTTTTTTTCTGAAAACAGTAGCATTCATGTATTACCTGGCATGAAAGTATTCATTATCTTCCTTATTTTACCAGACTGAGTTTGTTTTATTCACAGTTGAATCCCCAGTGTCTATAATAGTGTTTCACACATAATTGGAATGCAAGAAATGTTTGTTGTATGAATGTTTGTACTTATGAATATCAGTTCTGAAAATAAAAAGATTATTTTCAGCTAGCACCTTGGCATTCGAGCTAAGTTAGATTTTTGGATCTATGAAGGTAGGTGGTAAAGTGTTTCAGATGACTGGGAAAGAGCAAGACTTTATGATTTTCCCTATTTGTTAAACTTGGTGCTCTAATCTTTTTTCTCCACTTAACAACATTTCAATAAGATATTTAAATGAGCCCATACTCTAAAATTTCTTTAAGTATAGAATATGAATCTAAAGATTTTTGTCTCGTTCAGCTTTGTATTTCACCCACCTGATACAATGTGCGACCCATAAGAGATGCTTATTAGAAGTAGCTTTTGCCATGACACTTTCAAGAAGATGTTTTAGAAATACAGTCAGTTCTTGTTATTCCTGGGAGTTATGTTCTATAACTGGTCACTGGATTAGTAAATACTGAATGAGTGCTAATAGAGGAAACACAGGCTTAAGCTCCTCTGAGCCTTTAGCCCCAGCATTTCCATCAACCAGCCAATATATAACTTTGTAGGTAGGCAGATAGATAATAGTTGATTCTTTTTTTTGTAAATAAAATGAAATTTATTACACTACATAATGTTACACTTTAATATATTGTCAGATGTGAGCAAGGTATGTCGTCAAATTCCATGGTAGGACAACTCCCATAAACTATTCCATCTTCTCCCCCAGCTTGATTGCTCCAAATATACACATGGATGTGGCGATAACCTCCCTGAATCTTTGCTTTCAGAGCTAATTTTTGCCTCTCACTAGAGATACAACTCTCAGATCAAGAGAGCAATTATAGTCTTTCACTGAGGGCCAAATGCCACTGAGAATACAGAACCCTGAACACTGGAGTGTAAGATACCAAAATATATAGGCCACAAAAACCTTGTGATCTGATAACAAAGGCAAATTTGATATTGGTAAAAACATTCTAAGTATTACTGTTTTAAAACATTACATTTTTGTTTCCAACTTTAATTTGCAATTTCGAGTGTTCCTAAGTGACCCCACAAATACATGGTACCTATGTCATTTTTAACTTGACTGCCCCTGTGAGTAAGAAAGTCTAATGTCATCTGCAAGCACATACATCTTCCTGAGGCTTTGTGTTTGTATCATGAAGTGAATTATTTCTGAATCCAGGTACCGTAGAGACCCCTGTGGAGTAATGGAAGTCTGTTCTGCATGTTGTGATAGAGAAGACCATGTTAGAATAAGAACATATTTGATTGCATACAGATCAGGAAAGAAAGAATTTTATATCACATAATCTTAGCAGTCTTACTTTGAAATGCCTTGGTTTTTTATTTAGTGTTACCAATAAAATTGTTAAATCAAGAGGGTCATTCAGAAACCTCGTAAATGCTATATATCATATTTGAGTATCCTGGAGCTAGAAGTCTAAATCATAGTAGTTTTAAATAATTATGCCAAGCAATAAGAAAAAATTATTATGAGTGCAACATATTCCTTCTTCTAATGGATAAATGCATCAGCTTAAACTACGTATTATAACCATTTCAAATTTTAACATGAGTCATAAATTA